CCTAACCTGATCCAACCAAACCCAACTTAACCAAATCTAACCTAACCAAATAAAACCTAGCCTTATCTATCCAAACCTAACCTTACTTAATGTGAACAAACTAGACTTAATTAACCTATCCTAACTAACCCTAAGTAATCCAAATCTAACCTAACCTAACCAACGAAGGTCAGGTGAGAATCGAAGAAACAGAGTGAGAACGAAAGAACAATAACGAAGCTAATGAATAGCTAAAGGAGAATGAACAGTAAAACATGGATAATTACGTTGACGCTGTGATAAATAATATGGAAGGCAAGGAAGGGAATGGAAGGTAGGGAACGTAGTAAAAATGGAAAAGGAGAAGAAAATAAAGCAGAGATAAGAGGGATGAAGGTGGAAATAAGGAACAACAGATAACAGAGAGAGAAGGACTTTTAGAGATTATGAATGTGAGACAGAGAAGGGGGAGAAGATGGAATGGGAATGGCGTATAAGAATGATAAAGATAATGAAAGGGGGGACGGAAGTGAACAGAAGACTAGGAAGTAATGCAATGAGAAGAAGTCGCCGACCCTGAGTAACCTTGGGACAAAGAGCTGTTGCCACTCTGTTGCTCGACAAAATATTTCCTAGATGTACGAAGGCGAGTAAGTTGCCCCAGCGACCTGGCTAGTACACGCTAGTGTGTGTGTGAGAGAGTTAGAGAGAGAGAGAGAGAGAGAGAGAGAGAGAGAGAGAGAGAGAGAGAGAGAGAGAGAGAGAGAGAGAGAGAGAGAGAGAGAGAGAGAGAGAGAGAGAGAGAGAGAGAGAGAGAGAGAGAGATTGAACGTAAGAAATAGAGAGAGACATTGTTTCTGTGGTCATATCAATATGTATATATTGATATCTGCATATCAAAGCAAAAATTGTTGAATTCATTGTGTATAAAGTTTGTTTACTCAGTGCATACAAGACTTCAGTTCTTGCTTCCAGAAATTCAATACAGTCATTCTTATTAAATTACAAAACTCTTAGAATCCAGCTATATAATCGCTGCCAACACCACTGAAGGGACTTTTTCCAACTTCATGTCAGTTCTGCTCACATAAACTCCTTTTTTTAGAACTAATTAATGCAGATGCAAAAGTTGTTCATTCAAAGTGCCTTCAGTAGATAAAACGAAGATTACTCAGTTCAAG